TTGCTCGTGAGTGCATGTATTGATTGTGAAGCATTTTTTTTCACCCCCAGTTTGCCCACTAGAGCAGCATGAAGACAAATATAGAGGAAACAACTGGCTTTTGAAGCTCACTGTTCTGTTATTCTCTGTCCCAACAGAAGCTTATTGAATCAGGGCAGCAAATTCTTTAGTTTCCAGCATCGGTAGTGGGAAAAAAAAACCCGTCTGTATTGCTGTAAATAGGCTTTCTGTGGTGAAACTGGGTTTCACACACAGCAGGAGAAAGGAGTGTAACACAAACTGAGTGTGGTAAAAGCACCCAGTTTCCTCCCTCAGTCCTTCATTGCATCAGATGCTTTGATGTGCTTCAGTGCTCGGCCAAAGTCCCCGTTAGCCCCGGGTTTTTTACTGCTGGGATGTGAGCCATGCACATATTCAGCAGGAGAAATTAGGTGAGATTACACTGAACTGAAAAGGGAAGCAGAAGTAAGTTAAGACTATGCGCCAGAATAGTTTTGCATATCTAAAGCTTGTGGGCACATTTGTCTCTGCAGTGACACCCCCCTCCCCCATTTATATTTTTATTTTTTCATTGGAAAACGAAAACCATACAAGTGCAAAAAGCTGAGAAAAGTCATAAATATATATATCCTGGCAAATCAAGATCATGAAAAACTCATCTCTGGAATCTCAGAATAACATAAAAACAAGTTAGTTTTGTAAAATCGAGAAACTTTCTTTTATTACTTAAATTTTACTGTAGCTTTTAAGAATCTCTTAAAGGGGTGGTATTATGTGTTTTTCAGGCACATGGTCCAATTTTATGCTGCAATCAAGTAACTGTGTAACCTTCAGTTGTAATGAAAATGCTGTAAAAATCAAAAAATGCCTTGAAATTTGCCTCTGTCTTTATAAGAGCGCCGTACCGTTTCTGACACTCCCACTTCAGCACATATTCACAACAATGCTTCGTGACAGGGGTGCTCTGTAGGGAGGGAGCTACAGGGAGGAGCTTTGTACCAGTTAGCAGTTCGGCAGCTCCACACGGCTGCAGGAGATTCAAGGATTTCTCACACATGCATGAATGACTCAAAGCAACACTCCGGGTATGTTTTTGACGAGGGGATGACATTATGATATAAATATCAAAAAAGTTGTTTTTGCACAAGAATAACACAATTTAAATAAGCAGGTTGAAGATGAGTGTTTGTTTTTCCTCTAGTCATTTTAAGGCACATCAGAGCTCAGTAAAATCACCATTTCTGTTTACTTTATGCTTCTCTTTAAACATTATCCCCATCTGCTAATTCTTTCACCAATGAATAACATTCATTAAATATAGCAGAAAATTATCTTTCTGCTTTGGCAAAAAGTCCAAAGTAAAAAAAAAGTTTATAGATTTTCATACAAAATACACAAATAAGATGATGTCATCTATGCCTCACAGGATATGCTCACAGGGCACATCTATCCAGTTAAGTTATTTCTGAAGTAAGATTTGTAAAATCTCATTTTCTGCACTGGTCCTTATCGGTTCTGGTGTAAAACCCCGACACTAAAATGAATCAGAACCAGCCTTTGTTTCATCTGGGAGCTTTTGGAAGCCAGCTAGATGAGATCAAAGCTTCTATATTAAAAAAAAGAAAAAACAATCGGCACCATCTGTGACCCTGACAAAGCCTGCTGCTCAACAGCAGGCACGTTTAGTTGCACCTGAGGAGTTTACCTCCCTCACACAGCAGCGTTTAGACAGACAGAAAACAACTTTCTGCACCATCTCATGATTTTTACAGGTAAGTATGTCTATGAATGACTCTCAGATACTACCACACCAATTCTGAGCTCCAGATCTTTACAACTCATTGAGTTATCCTGAATTCAGTATTAATGATCGACAAAATAGGGGGAAAATATCATTTTTGTTAATGAACATTTTAAGTTGAATTTAACTAAACTCGAGAAATCATGAGTCTGTGTTTTTAAGTTTTTCTCTTCAGGTTTTGTCTAATAAATTCTGTTGTCTGATATGTTTATTTATTTCTTAAATTTAATTCACATCATTCAGTCGGTTTGACTCACCTGTTGTTTTTCATGCAGCCACACCTGTTTCACTGATTACCACACACCTGCTGTTAGTCATCTGATTGTTGTTCCTTTTGTTCTGTCATGCTTCAGTTCATCCATCCATCCATCCATCCATCCATCCATCCATCCATCCTCTTCCTCACCAGGGAGGTGTCCAGGAGGCATCTATGAACCACCTCAACTGGCTCCTCTCGACGTGGAGGAGCAGCAGCTCAACTCTGAGTCCCTCCTGGATGACTGAGCTTCTCAGCCTGTCTCTAAGGGAGAACCCAGACACCCTGCGGAGGAAACTTATTTCAGCTGCTTGTATCTGTGATCTCGTTCTTTCAGAGCTCGTGACCATAGATGAGGGTAGGAACGTAGACCGACCGGTAAATCGAGAGCTTCACCTTCTGGCTCAGCTCTCTTCACCACAACAGACCGGTACAACGCCTGCATCACTGCAGACACAGCACCAATCTGCCTGTCGATCTCCCGCTCCATTCTTCCCTCATTTGTGAACAAGACCCTGAGATACTTAAACTCCTCCACTTGGAGCAGGACCTCCTCCCCGACCCGGAGACAGCACCCTATCCTTTTCCGGCTCAAGACCATGGTCTCAGATTTGGAGGAACTGATCCTCATCCCGGCCGCTTCACACTCGGCTGAACTGCTCCAGTGAGAGCTGGAGATCAGGATCTGATGAAGCCAACAGGACCACATCATCCACAAAAAGCAGAGATGTGATCTTAAGGTCACCAAAAAGGATCCCCTCAACACCTAGGCTGCGCCTAGAAATTCTGTCCATGAAAGTAATGAACAGAATCGGTGACGAAGAGCAACCTTGGTGGAGTCCAACTCTCACCGGAAATGAGTCCGACTTACTACCAGCAATGTGGACCAAGCTCTGGCACCAGTCCTACAGGGACCTAACAGCCCGGATCAATGGGCCTGGTACCCCATACTCCCAGAGTACCCCCCACAGGAGTCCCCAAGGGACACAGTCGAACGCCTTCTCCAAGTCCACAAAACGCATGTAGACTGGTTGAACTCCCATGAACCCTCCAGGACCCTGCTGAGGGTGTAGAGCTGGTCCGCTGTTCCAGGACCAGGACAAAAAACAGACTGCTCTTCCTGAATCTAAGATTTGACTATCCGACGGACCCTCCTGAATAGACCTTACCAGGGAGGCTTAAAAGTATTCTGCCCACTGACCTACAGCAGTGCATCATCCCCAACATAAACAGTTTTGGTGGTGAACCTCTTCCACCCCCTGAGACGCCGGATGGTGGACCAGAATCACCTCGAAGCCGTATGGAAGTCTTTTTCCATGGCCTCTCTGAACTCCTCCCATGCCCGAGTATTTGCCTCAGCGACCACCCGAACCGCAATCCGCTTGGACTGTGATACCTATCTGCTGCTTCCAGACTCCCACAGGCCAAAAAGACCTGATAGGACTCCTTCTTCAGCCTGTCAGCATCCCTCACCCTCGGTGTCCACCAGCGGGTTTCAGGGTTGCCACCATGACAGGCACCGACCACCTTACGGCCACAGCTCAGGTAAGACACTTCAACACTGGAGGTACGGAACATGGCCCACTAGGACTCAATGACCCCCACCTCCCCTGGAACCTGTTCAGAGTTGAAGGTTGAAGCTCAGTCTGACAGGAGACTGACAGATGTTCTCATGGTTCAGTTTATAATATTTCGTTTTATATATTCTTATTTTATTTGTGCTGTCATGCTCTCTCTCTCTCTCTCTCTCTCTGTCTCTCTGTCCCCCCTTGTCTCTCTCTCTCTCCCTCTCTCTCTCTCCGTCTCTCCCTCTCTCTCTCTC